ATGAAAAAATAAGGCAGGTGTCCAACTTTAAACTTCACAAATACACTGTTAAATAAATGTGTTTTAAGTAAGATACATCAGACATCAATGAGATTTGTGAGGTCTTAATATTTGGAAGACAAAGCTGAGTGGGCGACCAAAGCCTTTTAGTAGATCCCAAAAATATCAGTAAGTTACAGTAACTTAAATATTTCATGTTGTATCATAATTAGAATTTTTTTTCTAGCATATATCTGTATTTGTGTATCTCTTGTTTTTGTAGCTTGGGGGGTGTCATTCTCAGTTTCATATCTGTTGTTATATCATCTAACAACTGTGTTTTCTTTCTATATCCGTAATAACATGGTCATGTTTGGGTCCATAACCACCAAGTTATCACCAAAAACACAAAACAAATAATTTTCTTTCTTGTGCTATTGAATTCTGACACAGGGTTTCAATAATTTCTGCATTATACTTATTTCTGCCACATTAACATTTTTTAATCTTCTGACATGAAGTAAAATAAAATAAGGTGAGTATTTCACATAGTTGCGTTGTAAACTCCTCACAAACCGTTAAATGGCTGTTATATAAAAGTTTGTTGTAAGCACACACTGTACACACAAACATCAGATTTTTATTTCTCTCTCCAACCAAAAGTCTGTCAATTACTTGATCATTTATCTGGAGAACAACCCCGGAATGTAAGCGTAAACCCACTTTCATTTTGGTTTATCATTTCAAGTTGCTATCACCAAGAGATTATGGAAAGACGGAGGCCCCTTCAAACCCCTAAAACCTCTCCACCTGGCCACTAACCCTTCCAGTTCTCTATCTGAAACAGGTTATCATTACGTTTAGGAAATGTCAACCCTACCCCTTAACGACTGCACCTGTCTCCAGGTCGAGAATTCTGAAAAATCTCACTTTCAAGGGCCTATTTATGATAATTACATTATAAATCACCCTACTCAAATATAGACATAATAAAAACTTCAACACTGACTAAATATCAATTTATATCAAGTGGCCTACTAAATATTAGTAAACAAGAGTGGGGCTATTTAAATAAGATTTTACATTTTTATGGTAGTATGGTATATGTTCATGGAGAGACAAATTTCAGTGGATTTCCTGCCTGATAACTGAACTTTTTATAAGATCTGCTCTCAACTTCGGAAATAGGGTGTATAACTTACTAATAAGACACTACTTACAGGTAATATATCTGTCTATTCAAACTTCAATGTTTATGATTCAAACTAATGTTGAACTTGAGAAAGTAATTTTGTTTTAAGGGACGGAGGGGAGTTTTCTTGAAAGAATGCATTATAGGACAGATAGGATATCTATAGATGATACAGACAATATTATTACTGGAAAAAACTATGAATACAAAGTGAATTGATGGGCAATTATAAACAGTATTATTTCCAGTATCAACAACAAAATATTATCTGTATGGTATGATATTCATCACTGATTTCAATAATATTTGCTGACTACATTAAGATGTCAATTCAATTAAATATTAATTTGAAATGTTTTTTTAAGTGAAAAAGAAATAACCACTATCAGGTTTAATCTCTATTGACTTGAGGAACCAACGGATCAATAACATTATTGTGATGTCAGTCAGGCAAAATATTGGTATTATTTCCAATATGTTTTAGCTGTGATTCTAGAAAATATAAAAGAAATAAAATCAAAACAAATCTTTGGGATAAAAACCTGAAAATGGCTTTGGTAAGTGAACTTGTAAATGTCTATGCTTCAACTCAACTTACGACAAAATAATAAATAAGGTACACTTTTTTCATTCTAAATTTAAAAAGAAATAATTCTTAACTACAGAAGTTGGACCTATCTCAAAAACATCCTTTACCCTAAAACGGTTTGCTTTTTATCAAAAAGCTTACAAAAATACTCAATCACAGCTAGTTTAATCCCTCTATACAATCCTGTAGCCTTTTGTATTGTCATAGAATGAAACCTACACCGAGCGAAATCAGATTAGGGGCGAATAGATCTTGATGAGGGATACATTGGAGGCTGTATGTTCCCCAGATCTTGACGATGAGGGCTATTGTAGGGTTAGTGGAGTGAAAAAGATTTTTGTAGAGTTAGGGAGAGTTGTATCCAGCTAGTGAGTCGGAGAGGAATGGCTTTCAGATGCTGGAGGCATACATTTCACATTCTATCATCGAAGAGATCAAGCGGTGCTGCCTACATTCCCTGTATCTGTACCAGGTGGGCCCTATCAAATCCGTGATATCATCTGCCCTATCAACTTAGCACACCTGGATGTCCACGTAACGTTAAGGGAGGGGGTCTGGGAGACTGGGGACTGGGGTTAATCTTTATATAACAACTGATGACCCTTACAAACGATCCATATTTCAGCAAACTTTTAAAGCACTGCTCATCTAATCAGGCTAGCTCTTTATAAATGATGAATATATGTAAAATATACACACAGACAATTGCTTTTATCCTGTATGTTGAGCTATCTAAACGAGGCATGATGAATTTCGACTAATCTGTTCAGGATTACAATTCTGCAGCACAGAAAAATGATTAAATTTCATGGCTTCTCTGAACTTTCCATCACAAAGATTCCCCATATCAATTTTGCTTTGGAAGAAAGGAAGTGGTATGTTATGGAAGGAATATTTTTGGCCATCTGCTTTACACCAAAGTGAAACTTTAATAGCTTAATGATAGACACTTAAAAGATTTTAAAAAATCACTTTTATCCAAAAAATGGTTATATTGCTACCAGTACAAAGCACTTGAAATAACCATCCTACTTATTTTTTTATAAAAGAAACATTTTCAATTGAAATCAGAAGAATATTTTCAGAGAACAACATTTATATTTACTGAATTTTACTCCATTAGCTGTTTTTTATTCACTTGTTTTCATATATTTTGACAGCTTTTATTTAATAGAATTTTTTAATTTTAGCCAATATAACAATAAAATGTCATGGCATGTTCAATTTAATCTATTATACATTGTATAATTGTACTGGTTTATCAGTTTATATCTATGACATTTTTGAGATTATGTCAAATAGAAGGGGTTATCTGTTTTCATTATTATATAGCTAACAGCAATTAAGTATATATCAGAATTTTTTATCAGCCATGTTGTAAAAACAACCCCACATGTCCCTTGTCAACATACAATCATGGGCCCGACAGCCCCTATGTATGTAGTTGTCGGACATGTTGGGTGGACAACCTGTGTGTCCATCTGACAGTGACCAGGCCGACCATATCAAAACGTGGTGGAACACTGTCTCTGGGCATTAGTTACGTAAGGCTTATCAGATCGGCCATACTTAGGTCATCAGCGCTAATCGTATTACAGGTGAGCTGGTTGTAGGGATGTGTCCTGCCCACCTACCGTCATCAAAGAACCCCTACTAAGGTGACCGTAGGTAGCACGCAGGACATTAATCACGCTCAATTAGTGGTCACTACTGCTATTGTCCAGTTTCGTCCGTGGAACATTTGTCAAACAACCTTGTAATATCCATCAAATTATCGATCCGTAATTGATTTTTAGAGTCCAGCGGGCTACAGAACTTCAAACAATTATCCCAGAATTCGCACGTCTTAACTTTTTTCTTTTTTTAACGGGGATGGAAATTCTTCTTTGATGTAAAATTTATCTCCTCGCTTCCCATTAATGTCAAGAATTATAAATAAATATACATACATAAAGGTGACTGCAATTCCTTTTCTCGATCTTAGTATTCATGAAATCCATTTCGACATTTCTAAATAAATCATAAACTTTCTTCATAATTCAAATATAGAATATATAAATTGGATTTTATCTAACAGTCTGTAGGTATTGGTTCCAAACTACTTCACACGTACACGTTAAAACGGCTTCACTTTCGTGTATTCATAACATGGTAGATATTGATTACCAGGTTCATAACCGACTCTAACCCAATTCTAATTGTGACATCCAGTTTTAAACAAATGATTAATAATCAATTGTATAAATCCAACTTTCTACTGTTATTACATTTCCTAATCCACAAAAAATAAAGCAGTTTACGTTACACAATTAACGAAGGAAATATTGAATCTAACATTGAAAATCAATTTTATAAATCACGGTTCCTTACGCGACTATATTTGAGTTAGCTTGAAGCCGAAGAAAGCCGATCGTATTAACTACTGGTAAGGATAGGGCGGCCTATTGTAGTTGTAATATCAATAAGCTATATAGAGACATGTACTCGACTTTAATTGCCCATGCTCTGCATGCCGTAAGAAACCAGCATCGATTTTGCACCTTGAGTAAAAGCGTTTCTCAATCACTGAAGTCAGCCTCAGAGGGATACTCCAATAAGCGTTTTAATATACAAATGGCCATTATGGAACTTCCGTCAAGTACCCAACTTCAAACGGGGAAAATAAGACTGGATTTTTTAAATCCACATTTTAATTACAGTGGGTAATTAACCATGGTTTTAATTGCACGCGGTCTACGTGTATATATTTTTACAGTCCATGATTGATGAGACTGATCTATATTCTAAAGCAATCCCTATAGATAGATCATGATAGGTATTGGCCAATGGGTATATTTCATTTTATTATATATCTATATTCGCCAATTTTTTTTACAGCAGCCGTCTCCATCAGTAAGCGTAACGATTCTAATCAATATCATTTTGTAATATTTCCCATTTTTTTGTACGTATTTCAAATATATTTTTTAATCATTTAAATAGGATGACAGTAGAAGTACGAGATGGAGGTACACTTGCACGAAGAGGGTTCCTCAAATCGATAAACTCCCGGCAAGTGTTGAGAGATGATTGAAAGGAATTGTGTTACACCTTCACTGCGGGTAGTAATCGGCTAAGAAAACCAAGTGGTTCTTTAGACGATGGTAAGAGCCCTTGTAATATTCTTCAGCGGTTAATGTCTCCCCGATGACAATAGTTAAATAAACAAACAGTAAAACAGACAATATTATTGTTACTTACCTCTACTTTCAGAATGTCCACCATTGACTAGAAAAACAACAGCAGTCAAACACACATTAAAAACAGTTGTTGAAATAAAATCACGTTTCCTTTTAAACTGCATGTTTGCAGATTTAAATGATTAATTTCCCAAATGGAGTGAATACCATGCCATGGATGTTTTAACAATTAAAACACAACAGTTGGTGTGTCAAGAATATAATCCACTATATACATAGCTGTGTTTATACTCCAATCACACTGTTAACTCCCCATGGGCACACTGCGATACACATCCAATCACTTCCACACTTTACAAGTTGGTAGGTGTAAATGCTATTTTTTCACGTTTTCATACTTTTTACATGTGCATATCATCAGATCATCAGTATCCACAAAATTAATCCTCTTCTTTCTTGTAGACTCCTCTCCTTGTCGTTTGGACTAACCGAATAGACCTTGCCGGATCTCTAGCCATGTACTCCAGCCCTGCAATGTGACATTACGGTTATCAATTTCAGTGTGTTGATTTTTCAGAAGGAAGTTTTGAGATCCCCACTAGCTGCTAGCTCTACCATGGAGAATCTAGAGGTGTTCTGGAAACGTACAAACTATCCTGGCGTAACCAACCGTTTAACGCTGAGAGGGCTGGCTAAAACGATAAATCATTGGATAAAGTTCTCTTAGCCACGCCTACTTCTCAGATCATTGGTTCTCATTGGCTGGGCGTGTCTTGTTCATTCATGAGAATTTAGTAGGACTGAACTCACTCCAGTGTATTTAAAACGTCAATGATTTTATCGCTCTTTTAAAATGAGGTAAAAGGCCACGAATTAATATTAATACTTAATTAATATTAAATATGTGAACCTTTCGTATTTCATTTAAATATTCATCTTATAAATATTAATTGATTTTGTCTAAACACTGCTTAAAACAGTTGTTGGTTGTAGAATTTATTTAAACGTTAAATTGTCACAAATATTTATAAAATATTACCATCAGCTTCTTTAGAATGAAGGTTATATTGGTTTCAATTTAAGTAAAATTTTCTATTAGTTTTTTTTCCCTCCAATTAATAGGATTTTCTCAAGACTTTTTTCTAATTACGGCGAGAACAACTATATATTTTCTAACTTAGTTGAATGCAAACATCGACGGTAGAATTTAACTATACAGGTATCAGTGAAATTGTAATGAAATGTTTACTAGTAACTTGTTGTCTTAATGAATGAACATAATTTACAATATGTTCTGGCGAGCACAGTTCATAAGATGTATCGTAGAAGAATGTGTTTTTAATATTAAGTCTTAACCTTTTTTTTTTTTNATAGGTTGGGTGTCAATCATATATTGTTGTACATTTTAGATCTTGCTTGTATGTATGTATTTTAAGAAAAATTGACATGTGACACTTTAATAAAAATAATTTGTATTGTATTATAGTAATACTATGCAAGCATATATATGCAGATCCCAATTGGTGATAAAATAATTCCGATGTGTGCATTAATTCTTTTACGATGGCTCCTCAAGAATAATGTATATTCCGGTACAGGATTTGAACAATCCTCTTCACAGTATCTACATAATAATACTAATGATATAAACAATATGTACAATGTTAAATAAATAATATAGACAGTTAAGTTCCGTTCAACATTGATATAAGTTCAAAAATATAATATTTAATCTGTTTAGTCGGCATATGAAATAGGGAATCTGTAATACATAAATACACAATTTAAAATCAATTTTTCTTTATGAAAATGAGCTTGAATTGATTAGATCCACACAAAGGTAACATGTGATATAGTTAATGTTGTATTAAATGTTGTTTCCTTTCTATTAGCTTTTGGTATAAATCAGAAATCACAGATTGGATAATGTATTGCTATATATATCAGAAAATATTTAATATATCGCCTCACTGATCCTGAACTGTTTGATAAAGAGGAATAAAAATATAACGAAACATTTACTCAATCGTTTGTAATAAGGAAAAAATAAAGAATAAATCAATTATTAAAAATAGAAATAGCATCGCAACATTTGTAATTTATTTTAAAGCATACCCTTCTACCGTACGTGGTATAGCTTATGTATAAATAACATCAGTTAAAACTTATTTTTTAAAGCATGTAAAGTAATGAAATTATGTACTGACAAAAGACAAATGAAGAGTGACGGAGGATGTTGTGAATTTTGGCACATTTTACACTATTTCTAATAAACCAAATTTGTAAATAAATATGCTGATATCAAAGTTCTGGTCATAATTAATGTAAAAAAAGGTTAATAGTTGTTTGGGCATTCGTTGTTACTATAGAGGGGATCATGCATGTGTCTGGTGACTACCATCAAACACTGTCATTGTATATGAACAGGAAAAGAATCTGTTAAAAAAATCTATATAACTTTAAACATACCGGATTTATGTTGAGACGACGAAAACACTTCATATGACTGTTCCGTAATAGTACTAATTCATCGTTAATGACTTACTACAAATCAAAGTGATATATCATATAACAAAATGTCCGCCGGGCTATACTGATTATTGTGACAATTGAAAGTACAGCATCAGTAACATTATACTTATTACAAATATCAGAGGCATACAACCTATGGAGAAAATGTTGGACGAATCTTGAAAGATTTTGAGTTGAATTACGATCGCACAGCTTCTTATATATATATATATATATACTGAATTTGATGTTTATCACGTTGTATCTCCCCTAATACTATAGTATTGACGTGGATATATGGGAATCTGTAGTCACCAGGCATGTGTACACTAATATCCTATTAAATACAATTTAAGATTTTATTAATAAATTCAATACCTGATATACTAGCTTATCATTTATCTTCCTATTACGCTAGGACTTTCCCACTACACATTGTTTAGAGAGAACAGGGGAAACAAATAGGAGAAGTGAATCGGCATTGCCCCATAATGTCTATCTTTATGATGAGCGCTGACATAACTTCATGTTTTCATCAATATTGAACAGATCTAGAAATGCGTTTTAGAATCATTCGTTAGAAAAATCAAATAATCGGACATAAAATCTCTGCTTGAATTTCATGAAATAAAAATGAAATAAAAACTAGAATAAATATTAATAAAAACAAAAAAAGAACGTTTCCTTTTTTAAGTATATATATAAATGCATATTTTTTTTCCAAAAAAATCGTTCTGTTATATTAACCGAGACTTAACGAGATTTACAACGAAGACGAAATGTCAACCAATCATCACAGTCCGAGCAAAAACTGTGAATCCTTCCCTGCTCAATATCGCGATGGCCATAATATACGGACAATCGATATGGCGTGATGAACCATGATCTACCGAAGTCCGCGAGGAAAGGTAATTGTCTGTTTAAGTCTTATAGTGATGTAAATACTTAGATCTTCAATTAAGTTTCATTTTATCCATGAAACTCATCCCAAAATATTCCTTTAATTTCGCCAGAGGCTCACAAAAAGAAACATTGTTAATTGGCTGTGTAACCGTTCTACAGTCTGCTGTTGTATTCGGAACGGAGAGATTCCAGTACAAGCCCCGTCCTTGTAAGGTAGACTTGTCCGGGAGCCGTCCTGTAAGGCAGAGACAGGGTGACTGGGGATTACCTGTGTGGGCCGATTATCCCCTCGTATTGACCACACCATACAAAGACTACTTTAGGTCCAAATAAGATTACCTGAAGGAGATTGAGAATGATACAATCTTATTTACCTGTTTCTTTATCCTCTGTTCAAGTATGACTTAATCATGTCCAGCCTGACGTTTACTCAGGTCGTCGCCGAGACAGATGGAATCGGAACAGGGTAGGGGAATACTGACATTGAAATAATCACCCAGGAACATTTTCTACTCCTTTAATTATTTTTCCGCAACACCCAAGGCCTCCCCCTCCCAAACCTCTACATAAAGGTATGCGGGTTCTCTACCCCTAATACTCATACTAGGACAATATTATAATTAACAGAATTAATATTCCCCAACAGATTATATATACTACACCGGAGAAAGTGGGGGAGGCGGGGCTGGTGATCTTGCTCCCTAGCGACCCTTCTCAACATGCATTTGACGTTGTGATGGGATTAAATACGGATATATAAACAACCCCTCCCATCTCCCGCCATTCTTTTGTATCAACATCCGTGCCCTAAAACACCTAGATTAGTAATCGTGTCAGATTTATGTTTTACATACGTGAACACGGTATGCCGTCCCCGACATTACAGGACTTCTGGAGACGTGCCTTAGTGGTATAGATACTATATAATTGTATTACAATACAATCAAATGTGATTAATGGATTAAAATTCTTCGATTTAATAGTTTTTGTCATTTATAGTTTCCTACATATGGCCTCCTTCCTTCCCTTACAAGTTTCAAGCTTTTAACCTTTTTTACGCTCTCACATGACAGGCCAACCAAGGTACATAGTTTTATTTTGTGGCAGCTCTGTCGCCCCCTCCCAAAATGACGTAACCTGATCGTTTTATGTCATAGAACGGTACTCGGAAATGCTCGCTAACCTGACTGCAATAGAGGCTTATTGTGGGAAGCCCGGATTATGAGTCTTCCTTGGGGATTGGATGTATCAAAATTAAAAGATGATTAAGATAACGTCTTAAAGAGCAGATTTATTCCAAACTAAAGTCATTCGAGCAATCTTTGCAAATCTGGATATCCTGTCAGTTTTATAGACGTCTATTTATCTACAGTATGACATTATCAATTTTAATGACCGATGCCAGTAATTATAATGCAATCTAAATCCCCGAAACGCACCGAGCGGAGCCTGGAACTGGTGCCTCTTGTGTGCGCGCTACTTATCCGATCGTTCGTTAGTCTGTTTACGTGACGAGCTGTGACATGGCGGTAAACATGCCGAATAATTAATGAGCAAAGAAGAGAGTGGAAAACTAATTTGTTGAAATTTATAGTCATCTTTTTTTCTATCTCTCTTTTTTAAATTAGGCTTTGTATATAAATTGAATTTTCAATAATCGGTTTCCAATTCACCTCCCAGCAAAGATAGTACTACAGATGTTCGTCAAAATTACGCTAAGCTGTTTGTTTATTTTTTATTTGTGTAGTCTTTTAGCTTGTTGCTTGTTTTCAACAACACGAACATGGTGAAGGACGTTTATTTGTTTGAGATCATGAAAACCACAAACTTTGATAATCTGATTCCGTGATTCAAAGAGAAAACGTACCGACACATGTATGAGGTAAAGTGTGAACCCGACAAAGACACACCTGTCCTCCCGTCCGCCTTTCATCTTAGCCGACAGGTTACCTAACTTTATTTCCATATCATTGTATGGTTTTGTTTACATTGGTATGGCTTTATAGCCTCTTGGACATGGCTAGTCCAGTTAGTGTACAGAACGGTTTAACACAAGTTTACTACTTTATTGAATTCTCTTTTTATAACACAAGTTTACTAATTTATTGAATTCTCTTTTTATAACACGAATTGATGCACTCATTAATTACAGCAATATATGAATTAAACCTTGTTAAAGCGACATTTGAATTGAATCCTGTTAAAATAACATCTGAATTAAACCTTGTTATAGTAATATCTGAATTAAACCTTGTTA